AAGAATAGCTGGGGATTGTGGGTAGTGTAGTCTCTTTGGCGCTCCACATTTCAGAGAAAACAAGTTGTTTCTCAGAATTGAAGGGGAAAAACACAAAAGCATTGTACACAATTTAAACCTATGTCGTTGAATTAACAAAGGCAATCTGGTGTTTTTGAGTTGTTGAGTAGTGGAGATATCACTGTCAAATCAATCGACAGTAAGGAGAATACTTACTTCCGAGTGTACAATTCTCCGTTATCCAATGGGAATGGAAGCTCACATTACCGTTAAGAGCTGCCGATATAAATGGATGCGGTGCTTCCCTAAGCGTCAAATACTGCCGCCGATGGGAATACATTGCAATCAGTTGAAAGCTCTTTGCGTCCGTTTATGAAGCTGGAGGAGCCTCGGCGTGTCACAACTGGAAACCACGGGACCCTGGCCAAGCATCGCTCCTGGACGCTTAGGGAGTGAGAGTGTGTTGCCCAGATCAGTGCATGGAGCACCACCTAGCAGGGGCTTTTGTTTGGTGTTCACTATCTCAAACACAAGTCTGTGTGTTTTCCCCCTGATCACACATTCAGCGTGAAATTTCCCCAGGGATGGCATGTATGTGTCAGAGTACAGCTTTAGCCTTTTTCTGGTCGGCTGTAAGGCTGTCTTTGGTGAAAGTTTCTCTTTAAACTGGCGGCCCATAACATTGCAAGTGGCCCCTGTATCTAGCTGGAATAGCTGTCTTTTCTTATTCAGGTGTAGGTGCACAAACCATTTGCGTCCAGGTGCTTTCACATTCCCCACATATTCAGTGACATTGTATAGGTTTTCACTTGTATCTGAGTCCCCTTCAGTTTGCTCGACATCGTCAACAACATTAAAGTGGACCTATCATGCTATATTTGAATAATATAGTTTAGGACCATACCTATATAAGACATATTTATACTTTTTATTTTTCAAAATACCGAACAGATCATGCATTTTAGCCATTCCTCATTTCGCCCAATTTAACAGTCTTTTCATGGGCTGATTCTGTGAGAACAGCACTATCTACAGGCCTGGCATATGTACTACACCGTCTCCAGCGCTTTCGAACGGCAATGTCCGTGGGGCCAACTCCACCAATCAGGAGGAGACAGCCACGGACATTGCCGTTCGAAAGCGCTGGAGACGGTGTAGTACATATGCCAGGCCTGTAGATAGTGCTGTTCTCACAGAATCAGCCCATGAAAAGACTGTNAAAAAGTAGGAAATATTTAGGTGTATTTTTGTAAATAACCGACGGTATCAAGAGGAAGTAAAGTCCCCTGGTTTGTCCCTTAGAGCCTAACTGCCATGA